GATCCTCCCACCTCAGCCTCTTGAGTAGCTGGGGCTACAGGTGTGTGCTGCCATGCCTGGCTTAGTGTCACATTCTTAATGTGGATCTCTGAACTGTGGGTTCCTACTTATTTTCATAAATGAGCACTGAGGTGGGATTATTCTGTGAATACTGCTTAAGAAATAGCGTAGAACTGTAATTGGTAGTGTTTTTTTCTTAAGTCGCTTAATAAAATTTTTCCTCTTGATAATTTTTTTTTTTTTTTTTGAGGTGGGGTTTTGCTTGTTGCCCAGGCTGGAGTGCAGTGGCACGATCTCAGCTCACTGCAACCTCTGCCTCCCAGGTTCAAGCGATTCTTCTGCCTCAGCCTCCTGAGTAGCTGAGATTACAGGAGCACGCCACCACGCCCAGCTAATTTTTAGTAGAGATGGGGTTTCTCCATGTCGGTCAGGCTGGTCTCAAACTCCTGACCTCGGGTGATCCGCCCACCTTAGCCTCCCAAAGTGCTGGGATTACAGGCATGAGCCACTGTGCCTGGCCGTCTCTTAATAGTTGTGTAACTAAGGAAGGGGCCATTGAACAATGACAGTTTGGTATTGGGAATTTTCTACTGGCATCCTGTAGCAGGTATTGATGTTCCCTTATTATGTTTTAGGAGAAAACCTTTATTGTTTCTGGTTAGAAGAACTATTTTACTTCCCTTGCTAATGAATAGTGGGCCAAGGTTATCATATAATACAGTCTTATATAAATTATTTCCATAGTTTGTTCTTTTTCTGGCTAAGATATGGATGACAGAATTTGAATTAATAAGTGAGATCTGGCCGGGTGCGGTGGCTCACACCTGTAATCCCAGCACTTTGGGAGGCTGAGGTGGGCAGATCACAAGGTCAAGGGATGGAGACTATCCTGGCCAACATGGTGAAACCCCATCTCTACTAAAAATAGAAAAATTAGCCAGGCGTGGTGGCGTGCACCTGTGGTCCCAGCTACTCGGGAGGCTGAGGCGGAAGAATCGTTTGAACCCAGGAGGTGGAGGTTGCAGTGAGCTGAGATTGCACCACTGCACTCCAGCCTGGTGACAGAGCAAGGCTNAAAAAAAAAAAAAAAAAAATGAAGTGAGATATGTGATAGGACAATAAAATCTAGGTTGGAGATGTTCCTTTTGATTGTTATGTCATTATGGGTAACGTGAACTAAATTTTCTAGAATCTCTTCCCTTTTGGATTCCATATTGGAATTCAGCAGTAGCCTAACCGACATGAAAGTTGGAAGGCAGAACAGAAGAAGGCACTAGTCAGGTTTTGGACCCATCTACATGGAGAAAGACAGATGCATAGGGACAAATCAGCGCTTGCAGGAAAATCCAAACTGCAAATGGATCTTTGATGTGAAGAATATGGAGACATCTGTGGAATCCTACCCCTCTGAGAAAATAGATGTCATGTAGACAGTGGTATTTTAAAGAAACTCTTGATTTTCAGGGCAAAGTATCAGGAAAACAGGCAGGAAGCCAGTGTCCACGCAGTCCCCTTGCAGCCTTAAGCTCTGCCTTCCAACTTTCATGTCATTAGGCTATTGGTGAATCCTAACATGGAAACAAAAAGAGAATAGATTGTAGAAAATTTAGTTAGCAGCATTACCCATATCAGCATAACACAACCCACCAGGCAACTAATTAAAACTGTTATGGTTGAGGGTATTTTCTGTTGTTCTGACTCCTCTCATCTCTAAATTATATTCAAATAAGGTCTAGTTTGCATTGTAAACACCTAATTCTGTTAATATTGGTAATAACTGTGTTCCTGATTTCCCTGTGATGGCTACAATGACACAGTCACATAGAACCACATGGGGACTTGTTCCTCTGTTACATTGTGCAGTAACTGCTCTGACACAGTCTATGTGAGAACAAGTGTCTTATGTCAGGCAGAATGTGAGAATTTCCAGTTACAGTCGAATATGATCGTGTACACATTCTCATTTATGTGTGTACGTGATAAAAAAAATGCATTTTTATCAAACAAAAGCTTCTGCAAGTGTTTCTTTGAAATATTTTATTAACTCTTTTAAAACAACTTGTATACTAACAAATATTAATATTTTCCATTACCTGAGAATACATATTAAAATATTCCACTGCAGTTACGCATTTTCAGGTCAACATTGTAATTTTGTCAGGTTATTACACATCCTAAATAATGAGTCAGTATTACCATTTGCATTTAAGCTTTTTTTTTGTTTGAGACAAAGTTTTGCTCTTGTTGCCCATCTGGAGTGCAATGGCACAATCTTGGCTCACCACAACCTTCACCTCCTGGGTTCAAGCAATTCTCCTGCCTCAGTTTCCCAAGTAGCTGAGATTACAGGCATGCACCACCATGCCTGGCTAGTTTTTTGTGTTTTTAGTAAAGGTGATGTTTTTCCACGTTGGTCAGGCTGGTCTCAAACTCCCGACCTCAGGTGATCCGCCTGCTTTGGCCTCCCAAGGTGCTGGGATTACAGGCATGAGCCACCGTGCCCTGCCAAGTACTTTTTTTCTTTAAAAAACTGTTAAAGAAAATTTAAATTTAAAGGAAAATTTTATTTTTTACTTCTTACATGGGCATAATTTTTCTTATGAAACTAATTTTGCATTTATAGTAGCACAAAAACAAAGCGTGTTTTTGTGCTATCTTGCCAAAGACCACTAGAATCACACTTACAGTCAGAGAATGGCATGTAAAGTTAATGTAATAAGGATGAACACAAAGCATAAATGACTGAGGGTTATCAATAAGAGGGTGCTCAAGAGGACTTCTTACAGGATTTGTTTCTTTTAGGTGTCTTAATTGCTGATCAACAAAGTGAGGTTTGTATTGGATGCTGTGAGGTGAACTTAGTTCCATCCTTGGAAATTCTAACAGTTCTTATCTAGGAGGCAGAATTGAGTGGTGCTAACCCTAGTTCGTAAGAAGCATAAGTCATATTAGAAATTTCTAGTCATTTTTAGGGTTTGGAGTCTGTTTTCTTTTAGGTTGTGTGTTTCTTTTAGGTTACAGAATTTGAATTTGATCCATATGGTCACGTGGTAGCTTTGTGTGATAGCAGTGTGTTACAGTTTTCCACAGGGTAGGACTTGGCCTTGTGGCGAGTTGGGGAGCAGCTGTCACCGGAACAGCTTCTGCTTTTCTCATTATCTAAACACGGAAGTATTTCCTACGGTATAATGGACACTGTTACCTATAGTACCTCCGTTAAATTGTTGACCAAAATTAAGTCGGCTGAGTCTGAAATAATTTGATAAAGGTTTATTCATAGCCAAATGTGAGGATTGGCCTTGGAAGATAACAGCAAAGTTGGGTATGTTCTAAAGTCTGTTTTTTACAAGTTGGAATGCTCTTATAAGAAAGTTAGGAGGCCAGGTGCTGTGGCTCATGCCTATAATTCCAGGTATTTGGGAGGATTGCTGGAGGCCAGGAATTTGGGGACGAACCTGGGCAACATCGGGAGACTTCATGTCTAAATAAATAAAAAAATAAATTATAAGCTGGGCATAGTGTTGGGCAACTGTAGTCCCAGTACTCAGAAGTGTGTCAGGAAGATTGTTTGAATCCAGGAGTTCAATAGCAACCTGGGCAACATAATGAGAACCACCATCTCAAAAAAACTAAACAATTAAGAAAAATAGACTGATTTCTGTAAGGGGTAAAAACAATAAGAAAAAATAAATTTTAAAAATCCTAAAAATAAATTTTAAAAACCCATTCAGGGTCGAGGCAGGAGGTCATTTTTTCAAAGACATACAGATGGCCTGAAGGCATATGAAAAGAGACTTAGTATCACTAATCATTAGAGAAATTCAAATCAAAACCATAATTACATGTTATCTCATACATGGAAGGGTGGGTACTATCAAGAGAGATTAGTGTTGGTGAGAGTATAGAGAAAAAGGAAGCTTTGTACAGTGCTGACAGAAATGGACATTGGTACCTCTTTGTAAAAAACAATATAGAGGTTCCTCAAAAGAATTAAAAAGAAGTACATGATCCAACAGTATCACTCCTGGGTATATGCATATATGCCCAAAGGCAGTAATCAGTATTTCAAAGAGATATCTGCCACCCGAGTGTTCATTACAGCGTTATTTACAATAGTCAACATATGGAAACAAACTTAGCATCCATCAATGGATGAATAAAGAAAATGTGATGTATATTTAAACAATGGAATATTACTCAGCCATAAAAAAGAAGGGAATCCTGACATGCCACAACATGAATAAACCTGGTGGACACTATAAGATAAGGCAGACATAGGCAAATACTGCATGATCGCACTTAATTGTGGAATCTTAAAAACTCAAAACTCAGGGCTGGGCGCGGTGGCTCACGCCTGTAATCCCAGCACTTTGGGAGGCCGAGGCGGGTGGATCACGAGGTCAAGAGATCGAGACCATCCTGGTCAACATGGTGAAACCCCGTCTCTACTAAAAATACAAAAAATCAGCTGGGCATGGTGGCGTGTGCCTGTAATCCCAGCTACTCAGGAGGCTGAGGCAGAAGAATTGCCTGAACCCAGGAGGCGGAGGTGGCGGTGAGCCGAGATCGCGCCATTGCACTCCAGCCTGGGTAACAAGAGCGAAACTCTGTCTAAAAAAAAAAAAAAAACAAAACTCAGAGGCAAAGGGAGGAACGGTGGTTACTAGAGGCCAGAGGGCAGGGAAAATGGAGAAATGTTGGTCAAAGGTTGAAAACCAAGTTG